GTTAAAAGGGCAGGTTTATGCTTCCATAGGTTATTGGCCAAGGAGTAACTTTTGGACACAATAAAAGTACACCTAAATTAAAAAAAAATACTTTTGAAAAATAAAAATAAAAGCATTTCTGAGGCATAATGGACCTTTAAGTTAAATTCTTCTTTGAGGGTCAGGAATAGACTTAACAAATAGTGTTAAAACAGTCAGATTTTCAGCGAATACTTGTGTCAGTTTGTTTGTAGATGAATCCATATCATAGTTGACTGCACTTAGCCTGCACATTCATTTATAATGATATCTGAAGTAAATCTAAACTGCTTTGTGCTTTTGTTAACTGTGATAAAGTAAAATACAAATGTATGGCTTTTTTGAGGGGAGGGGGTGGGGGTAATTTTGGTATAAGTTGTGAGATGATAAAGATAAAATGGTCTATATAGTGTAGTAAGGTTAAAGCACGTACATGTATTAAATATTCTGCAAATCTTGACTGTCTGATTTAATAAGGGAGACAACTCTCATTTATTACTTTTTATCCTTTTCATAAATGATATAAAGAGTTGTCTGTATCAAAGTGCAATATGTATGGATATTGCACTTTTTGCAGACGACATTAATTATTTCTGTTTAATAGTGATCCAACGATTTTCAATCGCAGCTTGATATCTGATAACAATTTCCTTTTTAAAGCGTCTAAAAATCTCTGGAGTGCATTATTTTGAGTGGTAGATCAGTACATGGAGTTGTAGATCACTTTTGATTATTTGGTGTATTTTTTGCGGGAAATCGTCTAAAATCAGTTTGACTTTCTGTAAGATTTACAGGGAACAACTGAATATAAGAATATTTTTCATTGGTCAATTTAAAATCACAATCTAAAATCTGGTAATCTCATTGGTCATTCTAAAATTGTCATTCTAAAATAAAATGTAAACGATAGTAGTTTTCTAGTTTTTCAGCTCTTTTAGTTCTATTTAATAATACATAGCCACTCTGCGTTACATTTTCTAGTGAACAGTTACAAAAGAATTTACTGAGTTTATTTTACACAAGAACTTCCTGAGCTTTAAATTGTGTCCAAAATAACGAGACCACCAATAACGTTCACGCTATCTTGTAAGTTCACTCGTGCACATGAAAATATCTAAAAACACCAAAACATCCAAACTTATCAGGTACCCTCAGTTTATGATGTTCAATTAGTGTCTATTATATTATAATTGAGCCGCGTCATGACAAAACCAACATTATGGGTTTGCGACCAGCATGGATCCATGCTGTTCGCTTACAAATCCTATAACAAGTACAGAAACTGATAGCGAACAGCATGGATCCTGATCAGACTGCGCGGATGCGCAGGCTGGTCTGGATTCATGCTGGTCGCAAACGCACTATGTTGGTTTTGTCATGACGCGGCTCATATGATCATTGATTGTTTAATCGTTATAATGTTTAGAAATTTCATACATTTTTGCATATTAATTAGGTATTTATGAATATAATTGGCTATCGACTGCTTAGATGTTGATGTACAAAATTATGATCAGTTAACGAAACTAGACAGGTTCCTTTAGGAACACGTACAGCTAACAGTGTTCCATTTTTCGTGATTTTAATAACCCGTCAAGAACTAATATGTCCTTGTTGTGCAAGCATTGCTGATATTTCGGAAAACTCCGAAATAACATATGAGAGTTAACCAGTTTTACTTCTTTTGTAAAAGATACTTCATGGTTATACTCACTGATTCGTTTTTGACACTCTTAATGTGAAAGAGTATAGCTCAGTGTTAAAACTAAACTTGATCTATCTGAGAGATTGATTTTAACTTTATAGTATTAATTAAACGCATCAAAACTTTATTATAACTTCAAGGTTGTATATAAAGTACATCTCATGTTTTATAAATATATAATGGTCATACGACGCTGTCGTGTTTGGAAAGCTAGATCGGGCCCGATAAGTTTTACTTAATCCGATAGGCCGCCAACTTCACCAACAAATCATTCGGTGAAATAATGATATGTGTGAAGTTGGCGGCCTACCGGATGAAGTTGACGGCCACTAGCCTAGCGGTGTAATGGTGGCGGCTGGACTTGGTGAAGTTGACGACTTCATAAATCTAAAGTATTGGTGAAAGATAATGAACACTCAACATATGCATGTTTATAGACTGGATAGCAATGCAATTTTCATACCTGTAATGACTAATCAAATCTTGTTAAATGTTAATATTTAATAATTTCATATTTTCAAACGAAGAATACGAGGTATGTATATTTATGACTGGCATGCATGTATGAAATAACTCGCAAAAACTGGCGTAAAACTTACAGCATTTACAACTTAAATGTCAAATACGAAAATAAGAAGAGTGAAACTAAAAAAGTGTACCACACTAATCACCGTATTCCGGTAAATACTGGATAAGGCGCTTGAATAATTAAAATGCTTAAATCTCGCATTTTCATCTCATCTCTTTACACCACATTGAATACGTTAATGGACGAAAATTGTAAAAAAATCGGTATTTTTTCTACTTTGTGAAGGACAACATCGTTATTGTACATTTTGTAATGTGAATGTAATTGAATCAGAGAACCATTATCTCGATCTTGTGCTGCATATAAGTATTAAGTTGGTTAGTTACATGTACATTTACCCGAGTAATTAAAAATATCTGGTCTTTCAATATATTAAACCAGGGTCTTTCCAATAGAATGGTACGGAAACACGCCATTAAAACCCTTCTCGCTACAATTAAACATGTCTCGACAGAACTGAAAGACCCTGATCAAACTAAATGATTGTTTAAGGTTTGCCAAGTAATTGGAACATTTTAAATTCAATTTTGAATTTAAAATCCACAAAATTTTCCCAATGTCGATGTCGGGTTTATGCATTATGTGGTACATTATTTTATAGTTATGCACTCACGCTGTGACACTATAGTATGTTCTGAATTCTGCCACACTTAATGCTCACCTTACCTTACGAATTATGTAAATCATCTACCGGCCCATTTACAGATACGCACTTATAAATTTTATATGCCAAAATAATGTTTTTGGCGACACCGTTTCTCTTTAAAAAAGTTTTAAATGATTTTAAGCGATCAAAGCATCTAAAAAATGAACTTAAAATAAAAGTAATTATAAACTGTAAAAATAAGAAAAGCGTGTCATACAGGCTTGTATTTAAGAGACCTGCGTAATTATTATTATCCTTTGATGTTTTATTAAAGGCACATGAAGCTTCGAAAATGAATACGATTTTCTTCTTTAGAGAGAACAAAGCTATTTTCAAAATGTCATATAATGTTTTGATAATGGATTTAGAGTATAAAAGATGATTATCCTAATGAAGAAAGTAAACCTAAATGTAAAAAAAAAGTTTAATCAACAAACGGTACACACAGTGGTATTTTGTCTTCAATACAAAATCACTACAACAAAAAGGTAACAATGTCAGCTCAACTAAACGACCAAAGGTAAACGTTTTGGAAGCTGTAACACGACAAAAATATAGATTTGTTTAAATGAAAATAATGTCATTTTCTGTCAAAATGCGCCTTTAATGGTACATATTAAACTTAATAAATGATGTGTGTAGTTCAGTATAAATGTTATAAATGATAACGGTGGAAAAGTCTATCTACTAGCAAGTGTTTCAAACATTTTATAATTATAGAAAGTACAGTGATGCAATGCATTTGACTTAAAAATTGACTCGTCATTACGTCACGTTACATTACATTACATTACCTTAGATTACAAAACTGTACCAGACTATGCACAATTATTATTATTATTATTATTGTAGTTGTCATCATTATCATCATCGTCGTTATCATCATTATCATCATCAAATTTTTTATTGTTAGAGTAATAATCATCATCACCACCATTATCATTATCATCATCATCATCATCATTATCCTCATTATCATCATTTTCACCATAATTGTCATCATAATCATCATCATCATATTGTTATTATTATCATCATTATAATTATTATTATTATCATTATCATTATTATTATTATCATCATCATTAATCGTGTTGTTTAATTAAGAATTATTGAATTATAAATAACTGGCGTACATGTTTTTAAATATTACATTCTGCGTAGAATTCATTTTTTACTTTACTATTTATATTTGATTTCTTTATTTGGTAGAAACATATTAATTTTCATCAAGTTACAATGATACACAAAATACAGAAAAATTAAAACCTGATGACATTATTATAAGAAAATAAGACAAAATCAAAACAAAACATTCTTTATTTTAAAGTTAAAAAATGCATGAGTTGGTAGAGTCTAGATTTTGATATCGAAATTCAATATGTTTAAAGTCAAAAAGATGAAAAAGTTAAACAGAAATTTCACATAAACTGACCTTGTAACCCAGTGTCCGGGGTCTGTGTCCCGACCTTCGGTTACAACACATTTGACAGCCTACGCGAAATCTGTCATGTATCCACAGAGTCGCCCGATTGTAGCTGCTACTCCGGTTACTTCCCCTTACTTTTCCTTTCAAAATGCGTGAGAAAAACACGAAATTGCATTGTATCTCCCACGTGCATATTATTGTCTGCGTACAACTGACCTACATTGAATCTTGAGGGGACAAATATTTTTTCTTAAATCGCCATTATCTCAGAGCAGGACAAAACTTTGAAGTATGAAGTTGAAATCGGAAAACTTTCCTCTAGTAGGTGTACGATGACGTCACAAAGTCAGGAATTAATCGTTTAGTTTATACTAATTAGATAAAAAAAAAAAAGAAAATTACTATCTTTTAATTGATTTAGATTAATATTTGAAAAATCTGTATTAACGAAACTATTTAATGTCTATGAAAATGAGGAGTACGTTTAGAGTTTTATTTTGACCATGTAATAATTTTTCTTTTAAGGAACACTAAAATGTTTATTTTAATAATTGGAGATATATCACGTGTCCATTACATAGATAGATTTGTATAAAGTTATTTTGCTTTTTAGACAGGGGATCAGAACAACACAGAGCCCATTGCGAATGGCGAGAAACCAAAGGTTGAAATAGAGATAGATGAAGAAGAAAGGTTTATTTATGACGTGTTTGACAATCCGCCGATACCTTTAACATTTGGCTTTGCTATTCAGGTAAATTTTTGATAATTTAATGACCAAAAAAAAAAAAAACTATATTCTAGATTATTTTTTGTGATTTTATGTAATTGGACGTGCATGCACCTTTTAATTGATATGCGAATATTTAAGTTTACAACTGACGCACGATCATTGAGTAATAGAAAGAACATCGAAACACGAGACTATCTGATTTGTACGAGTGGGACGTAGCCCCTAATATTGATCAGATTGCAGAGTGTTTTGGTGTTCTTTCTCTTTTGTTTTAAGGTCAATCCCTGTTGTCACGAAAAGCCTAGAAAAAGTAACCAATGTACGAGCATCTAAATATGATATTCCTTTCGCTCTCCCTTTCTCTGCCGCCACAATAAGTAAACCCCAGCAAAAAATGAGCCAATCAATTGGCATGATATATGGAGTGTAGTTAGTGGGTACTAATACATGTACACACTCAGTCTGTACAATGCATATGTATACGATTTAACTCAGACACATTTTTCAACAAACAGGTCCCCAAACTATAATACAACTAATTTTGGACCGGTAATATGTGTCTGTGTGTACATTAAACGATAATTCAAATAAAAGTTGATTTTAGTAGTCCATGCTCATGGTCTGTACAGGTCAATCAAAACTGAACGTATGCACTTACATGGTGTTATCAAAGCAAATATAAATCACAGTATATAAACGATTTGAACCCCAACCGGATCTTGTGAGAAGATTTTAGTGTCAGCCATATTCTGCCACTGCACTTGTTTACGATATTGGTATTTATATTGATACTGATGGACGTTAGGTTAGTAAATCTATATTTATATTATAAGAGAGAAACTTTATTAAACGTCTAAGTTATGCAAAACATAAACGTTAGCACGAAGGCTATAAAATAACCGAAACTCACGAACAGCTTTCAGGTGATTAACACTGAACACGAACAAAAATCCGTCTTATTCCAATGTTGATTTAGTTAAACATTGAATTGTGATATCGAACTACTAAAGTAATCAATAACAAACGATAATTTAGTCATATGCATAACATATTGCTGTATCTTGAACATAAATTTAAGAGTTTTACCAAGGAGGTCATTTCCGTAAACTGAACGTTACTTGCTGGTGATTGTGAACCCTACTTGTGAGTTTACGAATTTTATCTGTACCCTGACTTGTGAGTATTTTTAAAGATTTATTGGAGAAAAAGTTTACGTTTATTGCGATTTTGTATCAATTATTGCCAGAAAATATAAATGATTGTAATAGAATTTTAGTATATAAGGTGGGATCTAAGGTATTTACCGAGAATTGGTTTAACTGATAATATTGTTAATCATTTGTTTAATAAAATATATAATGCTATGTATATTTTTATTTCGGATCTCCATGGAAGAATACAACTGCATATACTGGTGAGTAAAGACTACGAATTTCAATGCCATCATTAGCCATATAATTATTCGCCATCCAGACTGCAACTTGAAAATAAGAATAAATATTAAATAATGATCAGAATAAAATTTCCTACTTAAAAAATTTCAGCGTCACAACCAATAACGTAAACGAAAAAAAAGAAGTTTATAACACCAATAGCTGAAACACTGACTATTAAAATTTCAAAATTTCCCGAATATTCTCCGTTTAAAAAGATGCCAAAATTGTCGACGTCTATGAAAGATATACAAGAATAAAAGTCGTACATGTCAGAAAAAGAAAGTCAATGAATTTCTTAGAATATAAAACAGTGTATGAAATCAATGGTAGGTGTAAAGCTTTCAACATGTTGAAATAAGTAATCTGCAAAAAAATCTTGTAATGATATTTCGGGGTTTATTGATACGTGACGTTATGTAACGGTCACGTCAAAACTAACAACAATGCCGTTGAGCTAAATATAAAAAAATTATGGTACATATGTAATATTTTAGCTTTATATCTTTCCAAAGAAAAATGAATGGTAAGTGAAGATGAGGTTTGAAAGTTAATTATTCCTATCAAGAAATAATTGACTTTCTGATTCGTATAAACAGCCACTTCATGCCAGTATTTTCGTAGACAGTGAAAACATGACGAAGCTCCCCCAGTCATATGCAGTTTTAGTTACTTACATAGAACTAAAACATGTACTCTTCTCTTGTGACACAATATACTTCATATTCTGCACATTAAAATTTGGAACATACGACAAAAACACAATAAAAATCATCAAAAGTGACTCGCAAGTAATGGTTCAGTGAAAACACAAGTAGGGTACAGATCATTAAAATTGTTTTAGCAAGACGGGTACAGTTATCAGAAATGTCGCCTCTATTATTTACTATGTTTTATCAATATTCAAAGATATTTTTACAAGTGTCTGTCCGGTAACATGGGGTTAAGGCAATAAGGTTAAGATTCAGATATGAGTTATAGTGAAATAAAACAATTTTAGGCATACATTTGCATGTGTAATCGGCGTGTGTTGGCATAAACAAAACATGAGGCGAAGAGCTCAGCGTTTTATGCGCATATATTTTACGAAGAAGGTTATGGATGTATATTTAAGCAAAGATAAATTATTTCTTAATATGATTCAAATGTTAACATACCGTAACATATTAAATTCAAGCCGATTTTTGATAGTTTAATGTGTCATCTCGCCTGAGTGTACGTTTAGATGCTGAGATCTTCTCACAAGATCCGGTTGGGGTTCAAATCGTTTATATACTGTGTAAATGAAACATAACGCAACATAACACTTTTTATATTTAGAATAAATTTCGACATAAAAAGTTGATGCTTGTTTGAATAAAGGTGTCGGCCAAGGACTGACAAAAACCAACATAATGGGTTTGCGACCAGCATGGATCCAGACCAGCCTGTGCATCCGCGCAGTCTGAACAGGATCCATGCTGTTCGCTTACCAACTCAATTACAAGTTTAAAAACTGATAGCGAACAGCATGGATCCTGATCAGACTGCGCGAATGCGCAGGCTGGTCAGGATCCATGCTGGTCGCAAACGCACTTTGTTGGTTTTGTCGTGAAGCGGCTCATATATATGTGTAGCAAAAAAAAATAAGACATATAATCAGAGTGGCGGCAGGGCCGAGTGGATGACGCGTCGGACTAATAATCCAATGATGGCTAGCCGCATGGGTTCAAACCCAGTAAGAAGGAGTCGTTGTTTCCTTGAGCAAGAAACTTTACACTCATTGCTTGCTATTGGTTGGTTCTAGGAACGGATTCTAAAGTGGCTCTATGAATTTATAGCTTACTATACAGTAGAACTAAAATATCTGTATAAACCAAAATAATCCTAAATAACTTTGAGAACTCGGACAACTCCATTGCTAGAACTTCTTAAGTTAACCATCGATCTTTTTGTATAATAATATTTGGTTCAATCGAGAAGCACTTTTTTAAATCAATAAAACCTCTTTTTTACAGCATGGTCTTCTTTCGTTGTCAAGGAGTTTGTCAACATCATTATTGGTGGCAGACATTTTGTGTGCGCGCGCAGATGAAGCACTCAAAGCCAAACTTCTCAGTACGACAATGTTCATGTCTGGTTTATGCACATTCCTCCAGAACACCATTGGCATACGGTAATTAGTCCAAGATGAGGTCACATTTCTTCTCTTTGTTGCCTATTTTAAATAGTCATATTTAAAGGCCCATTGTGCCTCAGAAATAATTTCAAGTTCTAGGAGAATAACAGCCGATAAATCATTATAAGCTATTTAAAAAATAAGAACTCAGTTCTGTTTTTCCTTTTAAAAGTAATGAATTCTTTGGAAGCAAGACATTACTTACTCAAAACATGAATTTTGCTGGGTTGTGAAACAAGTTGTTGCAACTAATATATTTATCGCGCTGATGACACAAATTCCCGGAACTGACTAGTTCTAGTGGGCGAACATATGTGACCAAAGTAAGACTCGAACTTCTAAACCCTGTACAACAGGCAATCTTTTTCTTTTAATAACAGTGAATACATAAACTATTCACAATACCACATAAACTATTCACAATGCCAAATTGACTACTCACAATACCACATAAGCCATTCACAATACCACATACACCATTCAAAATACCACATAAACCATTCATAATACCACATAAACCATTCACATTTTTGTTTCAGATTACCACTTTACCAAGGTCCTACCGCAACATACGTGACACCTTTAATCGCGCTCATGGCACTTCCGGCATGGAGCTGTGTAGAAGATGGCGACAATGCAGGTGAAAACTTTATCATTATAGTCAACATTTATCTCTTAATTGCTGCAAGATCTAAATTTCATGCACTTTTAAATATTTCATACGAACTACTTAATATGTAAATTCAATCTCATTTTTTATTTTCATAGATATAATTAATATTTAGTTTTTGAGATAATTTTTTGTCCAATAGGATTGCAGTATTCTAAATGAATCGTAATGTATTTACTTGTTTGGAAAATCGGCAAACTGTTAATCAGTCAAGTAAATCGACTGTTTTTCAAAATAATTTTAAAACACTAAGCCGGTTAAAGTTAATTACTACTTTTATACATAAAAATTACACCAATAACAACATGTCCTATTATTTTTGAAACATCTTTTTATCTGAAAGGAGCGGTAAATGGTACAACAAATGGGACAGTAGTAGAGGCGATTTCAACACTGACTAAAATCCAGAGGGTAAAAATAAGTTGGTTTTTTTTTAATATGATATAATTCTTTGCCATTTTTGTACCTAATTACTTAAAACTTATAAGATCTGCTTAGCTCCTCTGATTATTTGAATTTGGTGAATTAGGAATGTAAAGAGAAAAAAACGGATATGAAAACATATACTTTATAATTAATTAAATACACTATAAAAGTAATATACAATAATTTTTAAGATGTTATAACCAAAGAGGCACTAACGTTGATCTAACGTTTCTAACCAGGATCTCACCTTCTTTTACCTTTTGAAATAAAAAGATAGAAAATAAATGTTTACATAATTACCATATTTGTAATTGTTTGACAATTATTATCAATGATCGATTTATAATAATTTGTTACTTTGATTACATTATAGCTCGAAGGAAGTCTAATGATAGCAGGCGCTCTTCACATGTTTGTCGGCATGTTTGGAATTGTGGGTCTTCTTCTCAGATTCATCGGACCAATCACAGTGGTTCCCGCGCTTACACTCATGGCGCTCTATGTTTTCAGTGCAACCGTGAGATTTGCAAAAGCACAGTGGGGAATAGCAGCCTTGTAAATATGATTAATTAATTATGTCTTTACACAAATACGGTTCTTTCAAACGCTATTTGAAGACGTCGTTAAAGTCTTGTTAGCCACTGTCCAAAGAACATATATAAATCTCCGTTGTTTTGTAGGACATAAGGTACAAATAGGCCACAGAAAAGTTCACAATATTCACCTGTATCTTTTGTTGGGCGAAAAAAGCTTCAAAATTATGTACGACATATCGCAAAAAAAAAATCCATTTTTGGTTGCAGGACTGTTGCAGTGGCTCTTATACTCTCGTTTTATCTCGCAAAAAGACGTACGCCCATCCCATGGTACAACCGGTCACGTGGTTTCCATATCAAATGGTCGCAGTTCCACAAAATGTTCTCGGTAAGTCAACGTTGTTTTTATGCGACATCTAGCAGTGTGGAATGGAATATCTAAAAAATCAGGACAACCCATTTGACCCAATTTACTTGAAATTAGCAGTAAAAACAGCAACGTGAGACGGTTTTCACCCGGTTGAAATTATAGATTTTTTTCTCTTCGTAAACATATAAATCAAGTTTTGCTAGTCATCCAAACATCCTCATTAACACAAGTTTAATGGCTTTATCAGATTTAGAAAGAAAATGGGCACAGACAAGAAGCTTATCAACTTTTTACACTAAAATGTTGATAAGTGGGTCAAGGTTAAAGAATAAATACTACCCGCTGTACTTCTGAAAAGAGGACAGCTTACTTAGATCCCATACGCATCGGAGCAGTAATTTTGTAGAGTAAAATTACATCAGAGTTATATAGTTGTTTAAAAGTAAATATTTTATTTCTTATGATCACTGATGTAAAGAATATGTTTATATTTGAATGATATTACAATCATGTTTATTATATTTACATATTCTTTACACCAAGAGTATAACGCAATGTACGTTACTTATTTACTAGAAACTAACTATAAATGTATAAAAAAACATTTGAGCCGCGCCACGACAAAACCAACATACTGCGTTTGCGTCCAGCATGGATCCAGACCAGCCTGCGCATCCGCAGTATACGAACAACATGGATCCTGATCAGACTGTGCGGATGCGCAGGCTGGTCTGGATCCATGCTGGTCGCAAACGCACTATGTTGGTTTTGTCGTGACGCGGCTCATTTAGAAATCTAGCCTGTGCTGAATGCGAGTTCTTCCCCAACCGCCTATGTCCCAACACTCCATCTTTAGGCCTACTAGTTGATTAGACGAGACCTTCTGAAAAGTGGCCCAGTGACTGAATTGCTATACAGCAGCATTGTGCACTAAATGATCCGATCAGCTTCCTAGAATGCAGTGTCTTTTGCATGCATGCATTAGATTGTTAACATACTAATAGTCTTCAGGAAAAAGTCGCCTATAGATATAGATTTCTAGTGACGATATGTAAGAAAAAAGTGTAATTCTAAGAATGCAAAAACAGCAAACTTAAGTCTAAACCAATATATTTTATAATAATTATTGGTGTTATTTATAAATACAAAAATATCAAACTGTACATCGAACTGCAGTTTATAATCATATTTGGGAAAAATCCATTAGTTTTTTTTTTAGAAAATGATTCGTTTGTCAATGAACATGTAAACGGTGAAAAAGATAAATTAACTATTTGAAAGTGATGTAAATAAAGCAAGGAAGCAATGCAATGGTTAAAAGGATTATATCTACAGTAAATATATATGTATTTACTCTCAATAAAGTGGTTCTAATAACTAGGTTTAATGATAATAAAGAGACCATGTGATCATAATTAAGCCAAGATTCTCTGCAAATCTGTGTCTGGACCGACCAAACTCTATATACCGTCGCCTATCCAGGCTTAGTATTTTGAAACTGTACAAATACATTTTAGACCACAAGACTGGCCCGAATTAAAAAAGGGCAGTAAGGTCCATTTACAAAATACCAGTAAGGTAAGAGTTAGGTCATTCCATGTTTTAATAAAATCATTAAATTCCCTTAATCGTACAATGCTATTAGTATAAAAAGTAATAAGAAATAATATTTTACCAAAATTAAACATATACCGGCCGGTTTCAAAATCGTTTAAATGCTATAATCTATATTATGTACAGGTTCATGAAATCATGCTTTCACAATTTAATTTCGTGTTTGTAGACGAGTATGTACAGTAAAATAAAGATATCCAGCTGTATTTAATTATTGGTCAACACAAAACATACTGCTTGATATAAAATACAGTATTTTGTCAGTGCATTAATTTGCATGTGCTCATCATTATTTTTAGATCCTGATAGCAACTATAGTTGGTTGGGTCGTGAGTTGGATTATAACAGAGGCTGGTGGGTTCGACATGTCTCCGGACAGTGATGACTTCTATGCCAGGACTGACTCTCGCACGTTTATCATCGATGATACAAAATGGTTCATATTCCCGTATCCAGGTGAGCAAGAAATACAAGTGCCATTCGGCATTCATCGTATGTTACAGAGGCCATTACAAAGTTTAGAAGTGTGGCTTGATATTGCTATGTACAGTCGGCTGTCTCTCTGGAACAAGTCAGTACTATTGATATATGATGAAAAATGATCGTGTCCCCTGTAGGGTTCGAACTCACGGTCACTTTTTAGCTCGACTATTCGATAAGAATAAGTAGAGCTATTGTAGTCACCCGAGCGTCGGCGTCGGCGTAACCACTTATGTTAAAGTTTTTGTAATACCTCAAATATTTTCAAAGTCCATTGACATATGGCTTTGAAACTTTGCACACTTGTTCACCATCATGACCCCAACCTGTAGACAGGAGGAGGTAACTCTATCAAGCATTTTGACAGAATTATGCCCCTTTTTCGACTTAGAATTTACGTTAAAGTTTTTGTAATACCTCAAATATTTTCAAAGTCCATTGACATATGGCTTTGAAACTTTGCACACTTGTTCACCATTATGACCCCAACCTGTAGACAGGAGGAGGTAACTCTATCAAGCATTTTGACAGAACTATGCCCCTTTTTCGACTTAGAATTTACTTTAAAGTTTTTGTAATACCTCAAATATTTTCAAAGTTCTTTGACATAAGGCTTTGAAACATGTTGAAATTTTATACTCTTCTTTGAGAGCATAATAGGACTCTCTCCAATGCCTATAACTGTAATATGGATTTAAAGAAAAAAATGCCTTTTTCTTTACTGAGAAAATATTACCTTTTATTCAAGGCTTTTTTACTATCAAGCACTAAGAATAGTCGAGCGTTGCTGTCCTACCGACAGCTCTTGTTTGAAAGGCAGACACCTTTATCAATAACCTTACTCTCCCCTCAAGTTTCAATTTTATAAGTAAGCTTCAGGCGGCTGAACGTTGATATTTATAATATCGCTAATTTAAAGATATAAACTTTGTGCACAATACTTATAATACCTATCTTAATGATTTTTTATCCCCAGGACAATTCGGTCACCCAAGATATGAAACTGGTGCTTTTATAACATTCCTTATTGGAACGCTCGGTTCCATCATTGACTCAATTGGCGATTACTACGCATGCGTGAAAGTCATTGAAGCCCCGCCTCCGCCGAGACACGCTGTCAACCGTGGTATTGCTGTTGAAGGTTTCATGAGTTTTATCGCAGGCTGGGCAGGAGCCGGACACGCCACTTCAACTTTCGGTGGCAACATTGGAGCAATTGGAATAACAAAGGTAATAAATGTTTCCTTGGTTGGTTATATGCTGTAATGATTATTTCTAAAATGTTGTATATAGCGCCCCTTTATGTAAAGACTTGACAACTTGAGCGGAAGAACACCATTAGTGTGTGTTTATTACTAGACATAACTTTATTCAAATATTTTATGAAACAGTAACAAAATTGAATTAAGCCAATTTTACTAAATTTTTGAAAGACTTTTATTCGATACCCAAACATTCGTTTAAATATATGGGGCAATATGACCTGTCAAAAAACTTTATCTAAAAATATGATTACCGTCTATCCAGTCTGAATATAAAAAATAGAGTAATGTACATGTCCCGCCTCATATTTTACCTCACCCGAATAAAAACCTGCCCTGGACATTGAAGTTGACCTCATTTATGATAACACCTTGCAAAAATATCACATTATCGTTTTTATGAGCGAATTTTAATGATTATTTAAACATCAAAATATATAGTTACACCTAAAGAGTACAATTAGTAGGCTTTTTTTAAAGAAATAAATAATAAGTTGATATTTAAACAACTACTCGGTTGAATTATTAAAAGGAATATGTACGTCATTTTATTACGGATGGATGGTGAATAGTGGCTTGATCTCTGCTGAAGCATGTAACTTTAAGCTATCTCCTGATCTCGAAAGTCATTTCATCCCATTGACCTCATTATGTGTCCAAAAAGTATTGCATGAATATTAAACATAAATTAAACTTGAAAATGTACATATTAAATAAATTGGACATATTTACAAAAATAATATAAAAGATACCTAAAAAACAAACAACGCGTGGCCGAGTGGTTTATACCTCGGACAAGTAATCTAAGGATTGCTGACCGCGTGGGTTCAAACCCTGTCAGTGGCAAGCCGTTGTTTCCTTGAGCAAGAAACTATACATTCATAACTTAGTACTGGTTGGTTCCTGGAACGGATTCGAGACTGTTTCACAATCGAACTAAAATCTATTTGTATAAACTTAAACAAACAAAATAACAAAAACAAGAACAAGAATTAACAAGAAGTCAACTGTTTAATGGCAAAAATATACATGTAATGTATATCTATCACTCGTCCTTTGTTATAACACGTGGATTAATGCTGAGATCAGAATGTAAAGTTTCCCACTCATTTATCAGCCTAAAGTTGTGTGCAATTTGGACATTGCAAAAAGCATTTTATAATTTTTTTACAGGTTGCAAGTTTGCGAGTGTTTCAATTACTGGGCCTTTTGTTTATGGTACTTGGCGTCATCGGTAAAGTTGGTGCGTTTTTCGTCACCATTCCGTACTCTGTTATTGGTGGACTTCAAGTGATTAACTTCGGCGTGTTAGCTGGAGTCATGTTGTCCAATCTTCAGTTTATTGACCTTAATTCTAAACGAAACCTCTCCGTCATTGGAATATCAATGTTGATTGCAATGATGTTGCAGCATTGGATAAAGACCACAAAGGATGCCATTGAGACAGGTTGGTTTTAACATCAGCTCCCTGTTTTCTCTCCGTTACTCTACGTTACTAGACGTTACTCTACGTTACTAGACGGTACTCTACGTCACTATTCGTAACTCTACGTCCGTCACTCTACGTACGAAAGGAAGTGAAGTGTCAGTAAGGATATGATTTTAATGAGTATTTTGATCAGTCGTATTGTATTTGTTGATTCCAAAGAACCGCAATTTGTAAAAATGCTTCTTATTTGCAAGGGGTTAGTTTGTTATTTGCTACTCGGATGCTAAATAATCCTTGATCCGCGCCTGATACTTTTATTTTTTTATATTTTGACAATTTTTCACTTTTAAAAATAATTCTTATATTTTCATTTATTTAAATCTTGTAATATGTTGTTTAAAACAAGAGGCATGCATTGTCAAATTTATTATGCATTTCATATCCTTATCTGTAGGTATTGAAGACCTTGACAATACAATCACAATGTTGCTAGGCAACCCAGTATTCATGGCAGGAGTTCTAGCATGTTTCTTTGACAACACCATGCCGGGTAAAAAAACTCTTTTTTTCTCTCATGCATTGCTATATTTAATCATTTGGTAAACATTGTAAAAGTCGTGCAGTTTTAGACATATGAGCCGCGTCACGACAAAACCAACGTAATGGGTTTGCGACCAGCATGGATCCAGACCAGCCTGCGCATCTGCGCAGTCTGATCAGAATCCATGCTGTTCGCTTACAAACCCTATAGCAAATAGAGAAACTGATAGCGAACAG